TTTTCTATTCGAGGAACTCTGCTATTCGAGAAAAGTGGACCCACACGGTTTCAATTTCAATTTCAAAAAAGGACTGCGGCCTCCTCGGCCTCCTATGCGCATGCGCAGCTACCGGTCCTACGCGGTCCTGGACCAAAACCCGTTGCGGTCCCACGGGCAGCTACCGGTCCTGCAGTTTCAAATAAGATGCCACCACCCCTAAACTGCCATGCCTTGTTTTTCCAGCCTTCCAACGACCGTATAACGAACGATGACGAAAAATGTTCTCAGGGGCATAAAACGCACCCCTGATGGGCTGCAATTTTTTTCTCATTTGTGCATGTCGAGAGCAGTGGAGCCAGGCCCTTGGAATCGGTCCCTTTTTTTTTTTTTGCCTACCGATAAACCGTTTCGAGTGGGCCTTTTCACAAGACCACTCGAGGTCTTTCGAGAAAACGCTCGTGACAGGTGGGAGGATCTCATGTCTTCGGAATGACTTTCGACGCCGGCCAATCTCACACCTTTCGAAAAAGATTTCGGAAGGCTGTGTGGCGAAGACACGACCTTGATTTTGTGCGTTTCGATCCTCGAGTCTGTCACTTGTCAATCCAAACCGAAACCTACCAGGCGGGAGGATCTCATGTCTTCGAAATGACATTCGACGCCGGCCAATCTCACACCTTTCGAAAAAGATTTCAGAAGGCTGAGTGGCGAAGACAGGACCTCGATTTTGTGCGTTTCGATCCTCGAGTCTGTCACTTGTCAATCCAAACCGAAACCTACCAGGGGGGAGGATCTCATGTCTTCGAAATGACTTTCGAGGCCGGCCAATCTCACACCTTTCGAAAAAGATTTCGGAAGGCTGTGTGGCGAAGACACGGCCTGGATTTTGCGCGTTTCGATCCTCGAGTCTGTCACTTGTCAATCCAAACCGAAACCTGTCGGGCTAGCTCCTACTTTTATGTTGCGCGTTGCGAAAGCCTGTGTGGCGAGCCCCATAGGGAAAAAAATAGGGGGACAAAAAAAAGGAAAGTATACACTCACGAGACCTGGAGGTCGACCCATCGAGTCGAGGAGACGACTCCTCGGATCGGGAATTGGGAACGGTGGAGGCGAGACGAAGAGAGTGCAAATGATTGATGAGGATGATGAGGCCGACCGACCGATGTGAGCGCCGTTGTCGTTACCTGGACGAATAACGACGGGTCGGCGGGGTGCTTGCGTCGAGGTTTACCGGGTGTAAAACTTGCGGTCGCGGCTAGAACCACGGACGGACCGGTAGAACGCAGGACCTAAGAAGAAGAAGAAGAAGGGGGAAGGGGGAAGGGGAATCCAACGTGGTCTCCCGCTCGGTCGACCGGTCGGACGATCTTACTTACCATTAAACTTAATTATTGATATTGATTACTTGGACATTGGCCAACGCCAACGGCAAGGCGACACGTGGCATGGGGGACAGCAATCGCAGGTCCAGTGGTAGAGGGCGATCGGGGGGTAAGAGGGGTCGGATCTTCCGGCGGGATTTCCGGGATAACCGGGAGAATGTGTGGAAGAGATCCCGACCTGGCGTTGAGAGCGGCGACCAGGGACCGCGACTACCAGTCGGAATCACCACGCCATGGACCGGTTTCGTGACGGAGAACGAGCAATTCGAAAATTATTACAAGGTAAAAAAAAAAAAAAAAAACAAAAGCCGAACGAAAAAAAAAATGAAGAAAGGAAAAAAAAAAGAAGGGGGGTTATTACAACAAGCTCGTTTAGTTCTACTTACTTTTAAACTGGAGAAAAAGAAAAGAAAAAAAAAGAGTTGTTACAAGGTTGTTTACACTCAAAAAAAAGAAAAAAAAAAGAAAAAAAAAAAGGGTGTATAGTATGGCGGGCTTTCCTTCTCTCTTCTCTCCTCCCTCCTTTATTGCTCTCTTCCTT